GGTGGTGGTGGGGGTGTGTGGCGTGGATGGTTGTGTTGGTGGGGGTGGGGGCGGTGCGGGTGGAGGTCGGTGAGTGGGGGAGATGGGGAACGGGGGGGCTTTGACGTCAAATGTAACACAAAAGAGACCAGAACAAACACCAAGAAACAAAAAAAAAAAAAAACCAAGAACAAAAGAAGAGAAAAAAAAAAAGAAAGAAAAAGGGGGGGTGGGGGGGGGGGGGGGGGGGGGGGGGGGGGATAAAGGGTGTAGACACTTACATTAAAAATATGTACACCTGGAGCGTCGTACACTTTGAAAATATCATTAATGGTTTGATTGAGATCCTTGGCGGGCAACTGAAGCGAAATTGGCAAAAAACAAAAAAAAACAGAAGAAGGGAAAACGCTTTATTCTCGATTGGCAAATGGAAAACCGGAAGGGGGCCACACTACACACACACACAAACAACACAACACAACACAACACAACAGAAAAAAAAACAAAGGACAAATGGTTGGGTGTGGATTGGATTGGTTTTGTTTTAGGAAGGGGCTTATGTCGTTGTACGTGGCACAATGTGGCAGCAACTGCCTTGGGTTCACACCTCCGCCGGCTGCAACTCCGGATGATCCACTCTGTCCGCTGCTTCTTGATGCTCCTTGCCCTGATGCTCCTTGGCCTTGCTCCGCAGAATGTGCAGCAGGTTGTCGGACATAAAGTCGGACATGTCTGTGCTGGGATTGAGTTTGGGCCGGCCCGCCGCAGCTTCGACAGCTGCCAGGGTCGCAGCCGCAGTCGCTGCCGCTGCCTCAGCTTCGCGTCGTTTTGATATTTCGCTATTGATACAAACTATCTGAAAGATACATGTGGAAGATTTGTGTTTGCGGTTCATCAACATTGCCAGGACAACGTAGTGTGTTGGGAAGGTGGGAAGGGGGTAAGCACGCTCGATGGTCTGTCTCTCTGTCTGTCCGACTGCCACAAAAGTCTCTCTCGCTCTCTATCTTTGAAGCACTACAATTTGGTGTTTTGAACATTTGAACAGCTGTTTTCTGGGCAGGCGCACTCTTTGTCTCTGGTACTATGTAGTACTTGCCGTTGAGTTAAGACCCGAACCCTAGACAACGGCTGACAACAGCTGCTGGGGTTCACGTACTGATAGCCGGTTCCTAGCGCTAACCCCGGAATCTTCTATTGAGCTTATCGTTGGACAAAACTTTTCGTTTCTTATGGTTTCCCACTAGCAAATGTTTTTTTTTTTTTTTGGGGGTCTGGACAGAGCGATCGTGGCTGGTGTAATCAGCAGAAATTAGGCGAACTGAGAGATGGGAACGATGAACAGGAAGCATGGAGCAGAAATGATGATGTATCTGCAGAGAACGAATTTTATTTAACGAATGAGAATGGCCCTTGCCATTCAGAATTTACCCAAAACATTGTGGGACTTTCACATAAAACCCGATCTTGAATGCCATCCAACTTGAACTTGGTGTCTCGGAAATGTTTTTTCCCAAGTATCTCGCAACCGTTTATCAAATATTGGATAGTATTTCCATCTTTGCCTTTAGGTATTCCACGAACCCTATGGAACTTAACTAAATGCCTGCCTGATCGCCGAGACGTGCTGTGACGTGTAATCTGTGAAATTCCTGGAAAACATATCAAGCAGCAACCAGTAGAGGCGCGGGAGAGCTTCAAACACATTTTCTGACATTTAATTGTGCAATCTGCCATTAGTTCCGAGTAATTGACTTGAGCAGCTGTTCGCACAGAGATTATCATCTTTGTATCATACGTATAGACCCCATACGGGAGGGATTAATTTTATTGCAATGTCAATGCTGTGCATTTATTACGTGGACTAGAGAGTTGGAATAGAGAAAAGTGCTCATGAAAATTGCCACATACAATAAATTGTGGCCTGGCATTGTGAACAGGTTCTGCTGCGATTCGTCTGGGAAACAGACTCAAAGATGCCCTTCGTTCGAGTGTATGAAAAATCGGAATAAACCCGAAAAATGTATACAAATATGAAGCAATAAAAGCCCAGAAACCATATGAAATATGACAATATGAGTGTGAGTGGTGTGTACCAATGTGCCGCATGATACGTATGTGAAACAGGAAATGCTCTCAACACAAAACAGATATAATAATTATTTTCGAAAATAATGGCTCACCGTGGTAAAGAGGGCGAAGAGGAGCACCAAAATTTTGATCAGCTGGTACCACATGGGCGGCATCTTGTCCGATTTGTTGGGTTCTGTGCTCTTCTGTTCTGTGTACTCGTACTCCTATATGGGTATAGGGGATTCTGTGGACGGCTCTGTGGGGTTAGCCGTCTGTGTCGGGCTTTGATATACAGGTACGAGTGTGTTTAGTTGCGGCGATGATCGCTTGGTCTGTCTGGGGCTTATTCCGATTTTCTTATTGCTTCAACTTTGTTTTTGTTTTTGTTTTTGTTATTTTTTTTCCGCGCAGTTTTTATGAGCTTGCCGTATACGCCCGTATATAAAATAAATAAACTGGCACGACTAAATATTAATGCCGGGCTCTTGTTGGTAGTGGTAGGTAGTATTGTTGATTATAATGATGATGATGATGATGATGATGACGATGTTTTAGTTGTTGTTGCTGCTGCTGCTGCTGCCGTAGTTGTCGTTTGGTTAATATATTTATAAATATTTTTGAGCGTTGGGCTCTTTCCGATGTGCTTTTTATTCCGTTTTGTTTGTTTCCTTTCGCACGCTTGCGAAGCGAAGAGAGCGCGATATGGAGGGAGAGTGGAAGGTGGAAGACAGACACACTTCAATTAGTCGTTGTTGCTTTTCACTTTAGTTTCTGCTGAACCGTTTCTGTTTTCGGCTTCGATTCCGAAATAAGCTCGACTTCGGTTTTGATTTTCTTCGATCGGATAGTGAGAGAGACAGAGAGGTGTAATTTGTTGGGCTTGGGCAATGTGCCTGCGCCTGTGCCTGTCCCTTAGCCGGCGTAGAGTGAAACCAATATCGCAGCGGGCATGCGCTTTTATGGAACGAGAACCATCTGCCTCTGGGCTTTTCCGATCCGTATCGGATTGAAGAGTTTCACAATGTAACGCACACAGTGGGCGCGCGCGCGTCTTGGGGAGTCTTTGACATTCAGTTAATTAGCCAGATGCACACAAGCGGAGCGCAGCGGGTCGAGCGGGAGGAAGCGAAAGCGTCTAAGAGAGCGCGCGACTGCGAAGCAACTGAGCACAAAGTTTGACAAGCGCCCCAAACAATTGTCAAGTGCAGCTTTAGCCGGAGCTTAATCGCGGAGAATGAGAAAGAGAGAGAGAGGCGCACAGAGAGAGCGCGCGCGATCAAGCGAGTGCGAAGCAATCATAAGATGGAAAGAGCGCGGGCTTAGAGAACACAGAGATCTTCGATTTTATTACTGCTAATTGTTTGGGGCTTCGTGACAAACACAAGTTTTGATTAGCAGGATTATTGGAATACTTCCGAAACCCAAAAGAATAAGAAAGAGCAACTGAAACTGGTGAAGCAGTCAGTCGTCTCCCTTCCACTGTAGAGCTTCCCGCAGTCGCCTAAGCTTGACTTTCGTTCGTAATCAGCTGTATGTGGCGTTGGTAGCCGCTGAAAGTAAAAGTAAAGCGTGAGCTTTTTCCCAAAGCTCTCGGCGCTCACCTGCTCTCCACGTTTCGTAGGCGTTTACCTACTTTGTATGCTGGGCGGTGCGACACACGTCAAATCCCCCGGCGCACGCGTCATGGGAGTCACAAATTCTGGCCGATTATAGCCCCATCTGGCACGGAGCGTGGCTCGAGCGGCGGGAAAGACATTGATTCATGAATCATGGGTAATTCCAAGAGTTTCGACTAAAACCGCACAGTCCAGACCCAAACGCTGACGTTTCTCCCATGCCATGAACGGCATCCGTTCATAAACCGAACAACAAAAGTGCGACCAGAGCCCATGCCTGCCTTGAACTTGTCTTGGCTAAGGGCACTTATCGAGGGTTGAGGTATTTCTGGAAGTGACGAAGCCTCACTGGTTACATTCACATACAATAATTGTTTCAATATTCCCTGAAATATTGTGCTCTGGGTCAGTTCTGATGAACGAACAAGCATATTATCATCAGTGCATTTCATGACGAATTATAATGCTTGAATTTCACTAGCATTGTTTACTAAAATTATAGAATAATGTGCTCCATGTTCTCAATGAGTTATAGAGTGAGTCATGTAAAGAAATTCTTCCCTGATAAGTCATGGCATTTGACCTGCATACACAAAAGAGTGCTCCAGCTATAATTCACAAGATGCGACTCCAAGAAGTGCTCCACACAAAAAGTGTTTAAAGAATAGTATTAGAGTAGTCGTAGACTAACTACTTTTTGAGTTCAAATTGAGTTAAAATCCGTTGAATTATATTTGAAAACAACTTAACTAACTTCATTACATACTTGAGGGTTTGTTTTTTATTTATTGCATATTTATAGGCCGCTTGTGAATTACGAATATCATTATGATGTGAGAAAACCAAACTGCTTAAAGAGACTTCTTTTATGGCTCAATTATCTATGTTTCGCTGACAGATTGGCAACTGCTTAAGACAACCTTAGCATGGATTTAATCATGGTTTCCACTCCCAGAAGAATAGTCAGGATATTTATGCAATTTTCACATTCAATTCCAGCTACTATTAAAATTATTCATAGATCATCTTGTGATGAAATCAAGCAAAAACTCATATACAAATTGCAAACTCTAGAATGGAAACTGGTTATCCACATACTGAATGCGTGTCTATCGCGATTTCTTTGGCTTTTCGGCTCAAAGATTGTGCAACATAAGCCACGCCTCGTAAGAGGCAGACGTGTGCAGAGAGTTGTGGTTATAAAGTGATTCTCATTTGGCGAATGAGTTGATCCCATTAGGTTAATAGTTACTAATTGTTAAGGAAGCAACTTCATTAGAGGCACCACTAATCGATGTGGCCAGAGTGAAGGAACTAGAGTGGTAGCCACACAGATTGGCAAATCAGCGCGCGGCTGATGTGATGGCACCAAAGTCATGGCAAGTCAAGCGAGCAAACGACTCGCCGCTCGGCTCCCGGGTCAAGTTAACGAGAAAATGGTGAAATAAATTTAATGACAGCCTGCCTAAGGTGTGTGTGTGTGTGTGTGTGTGTGTGTGTGTTGATAAATAATGAAATTGCATTGCACATTCAATAAAATATTCAAGTGGCCACAATTAAAGCGGCAGTGGGGAAAAATGTGGACGCACCACTTCATCGTACGGCAAATGCAATTCCCGTCGTGACGGCCCCAAAGCGACATGCAACGCTGCACATGCCACCAGCACCACCTGGAAGGGGGGGGGGGGGGGGTTTCTTATGCGTTGGCTTCGAAAATAAATTCGACACAGGCCACCAGGACCAGAAGCAGCAGCAGCAGCAGCAGCACCACCACCTGATGTTACTCAAGCACAATTTGTCAGGAGATTGCATCATGGCCATAATCCAAATGAATGCCACAGAGCAGTGGTAAAGATTCCCCCGCTTAGTCCAGAGCTAGACAAATATCGCAGCTTTCACTTTTTCCTTGGCCATATCCAGATCCCGATCCAGATCCCCTCGACACACTAAAGTGGCAAATTGAATTGAATTATGCAGTTTCAGTTTCCGCCAAAAAAAAAGTAACAAAAATACAACAGACAGCAGAAAATGCTGTTCCGAAAAACGGGTCCACTTCCGATATGGATTGGAAATATTTTGTCGCCTGCTCGGGCAGGAGGGGCACTGGCAGAGGCAGCTGCGAATTTTGAAGTTGAAGTTGAAGTTGAAGTTCATTGCGCAACTAACGAGCGGCAACAGGAAGTCCAGGAAGCGAGCGGTGGCTCTTGGGTGGCTCTGGTCGGGGCTTTTCTAGCATTTCCCAATGCGCAACGGCCTGTTATCGCATTTCACGTTACACTCTGAAAACTTTTCACAACAAATTTTCATTTCATTTCGCCTGTTTACTTTGCTTGCCAGCGCCAGCGATTGCCCCACGTCAATTAACACAAAAAACAAAACCAAAAAACTAACAAAAACCCAAAGGAAAACCCGAGAAAAGTGAGCGAAAAATTAATAGTAGATGTGTGCATGCTGTCCGGGCACGGACTTTGGCTGGACGCGATTTCAAACTGGATCTCGAGCCACACTGCCAGGAAGTGGAACTCTGGCTGAAGAAATTTGATTTATTTCTTGATTGGAGGACTTTGGACTCACATTCCACTTGGCTTTGTCTTTATTATTGCTTTATTACACATCTTTTATTCCAACCTCCACTGGCATACAAAATGTGACAGAGTCTGAGGCTTCCTTCATGCTGGACTTGGCTTCTACTCAAACAAATGTTCCATGGCCAAAAAGTAAATTCATCGGAAATGTGTATTAACCACAAATTACACAAAGCAAAAGAAACATTCACAAGCTCTGCGGCAGGCTCTGACAGTCCCATAAACAGTGGGCAAAACAAACATTAAAATAATGTTTAAAACAATTCATGTTGGTGGGCAGTAGGCGAAGTGTGGAGTACCTTTTGTGATCAAAGAACTTGAACCTAAGCTACAACTTGTCTGATTTATATTTACTGCAAGAATGTTCAATTTTGTGCAAAGAGTTTTCCAGCAGTGTTTCAAAAGAAATCGCCTAAAAGGATAACCACGTTTCCTGCAGGGCATCCCTTTGCTTGCTTAACACTCTTCGTTGTGGCAACTTGCCGCCCCCAAATTGGAATTACAGTGTGTCCCATTAGTATACATTCGCTGGCTATTACATGAGTTGGGCTTTTGCTTACGAGTGCATGCACATACACATATATTTTCATTTTCAATTACTCTGCAGTTGTCTGCCTGCCGCCTGTTTTCCTTTTGCATTTTAACAAGTTTACAGTTTGTTAACTGCGAGTGCTTAAGTATTATGTTTGGGTTAAGTTTTCTTCATGCTATTTTCGCATTTTGCATTTATGGCTGTGCCACGCTCTTGCAGTTGCAGTTGCAGCTGGCAGTTGGTCTGTCTGGGCCCATTTCACTTTCGGTTAGATAACCGTTGTCCACAGCTGGGCGTGCATTGTGGGGTGGAGATTTTGCATGTGGACACAGCACTTGGCTGCGTAGGACTATTGCTATTGCTAATGTACTAAATGCTGATAAATGGAGAATGGAGTGGAGTCGCCTCTGCCTTGTTTACCCTAATTGCTTGGCTCTTTCTGACAGCAGCCTCTGACATGCTGGCAGTGAACTTTCATTGGGAGTTGGGCCATCATTTGGCGCAACATTAGATAATGGCTTGCCCCCGGGTTCGCGCGGGGTCTCTGTCTACTCGGAGGCTGCAGTTGAAGGCTTGAGTCATAGGCAGACATAGGCAGCATTGCATTGGCTCTGGGTTCAAGGTTGTTCTCTCTCTCTGTGATCTGCGTCATTAAATGTTAAGTGAGCTTCAGGCCAAGAATTTTCGTATTTGAGGGTTTTCGGGCAGGTTCCAGTCGATCTTCTTCACCAATAAATTGTGTTAAATCAAATATCAAATGTGAGGAGCAGATAATCAATAAAGTTCCACGAGCATTTTGGGCCCCTTGTTGTCTTTTGTTCTTATTTTCCTTTTGCGGATCTTCAAACGATCAACAAACAATTCAAGTTCGTTGCCCAAGTCTTTTGATTGGGCCATGTCAGCAAAGCCAAGCTAGTGTTGAACACGTTTGGGCCACAACATTTAATGAGCCGCATTGCAGTTGGTAGATTGCAACATGCTGCCGGTGCCATGCCACTCGAAACGCATTGAACTCGCTCATGTCGACTCACGCACATAGCCCCCACTCTCTGCAGTGTCCAGACTCTGCTGCCAAAAACTAAAAAACTGTCAGTAATAAATTGTCAGACAAAAAAGAGCATGAAAGAGAGCCAACTCTTTGGAGTTCAGCTAAGAGCAAGGCGAACAGCGGCTCAAAATGCACTCGCGCCGGCGCTCTCAGCGTTTTCTTTAAAAGAGCCCAAGCAGCCGAGTCCCGAGTACAGTTCGAGCCCAGACGTTGCCGAGGAGGGAGCCCACTTACCGAAAATAAACCATAAAGCACAGAGCGGGAGATACAAACGAAACCGAAACGGAACGAAACGAAACGGAACGGAACGAAACGCAACGCAACGGTGAAAGAAAGTCGCGAGTGAAATTTCAGCGTGTGGTTTGTGTCTTCTCCGACTCCTTCTC